CTTTCTTTTGGTCTAGGAAGTTCTCTGTTCTCACTTTGAGTAAACTTTCTATTCCACCCACCTCTCTCTACCTCCTCTATCAGGCCAATAACTGTTAGATTTGCCCTTTGGAGGCTATTTTCTAGATCTTGAAGCTGTGATTCATTCTTTTTTATTCTTTTTTCTTTTGTCTTCTCTGACTGTATATTTACAAATAGCTTGTTTTAAAGCTCACTAATTCTTTCTTCTGCCTGATCAATTCTGCTTTTAACAGATTCTAATGCATTCTTCAGTACACCAATTGCATTTTTCAGCTCCAGAATTTCTGCTTGATTATTTTCAGTAATTTCAATCTCTTTGTTAAATGTATCTGGTAGGATTCTGACTTCCTCATCTGTGTTATCTTGAATTTTTAGTTTCCTCAAAGCTTCTTTGTTCTCATTTCTTTTTCTAATTTTTTATTTAGCTTCTATTTTGAGTTCAGGAGTACATGTGCAGGTTACATAGGTAAAATCGTATCATGGGGGTTCGTTGTACAGATTATTTTGTCACCCAGGCATTAAGCCTAGTACCCATTAATTATTTTTCCTGATGCTCTCCTTTCTCCTACCCTCCACTCTCCAATAGGCCCAGTATGTGTTGTTCTTCTCTATGTGTCCATTAGTTATCATAATTTGGCTCCCACATATAAGTGAGAACATGCAATATTTCCTTTGCTGTTCCTGTGTTAGTTTGCTAAGGATAATAGCCTCCATCTCCATCCATGTTCCTGAAAAGGACATGTTTTCATTCTTTTTTTATGGCTGCATAGTATCCTGTGCTATATTTTATATCCCACATTTTCTTTATCCAGTCTATCACTGATGGGCATTCAGAGTGATTCCATGTCTTTGCTATTGTGAATAGTGCTGCAGTGAACATATGTGTGTATGTATGTGTATTTATGATATAATGATTTATATTCCTTTGGGTATATACCCAGTAATTACATTGCTGGGTCAAATGGTATATTTTTGTTTTTAGGAACAGAAATATTCTCAAAATTTCTGTTTGATGAATCACCACACTGTCTTCATGGTTGAACTAATTTAAAGTCCTATCAACAGTGTATAAGTGTTCCTTCAATTGGAATAAAAGAAAAAATTGACAAATGAAATCTAATAAAACTAAAGAGGCTCTGCACAGCAAAAGAAACCATCAACAGAGTAAACAGACAACCCACAGAAGGGGAGAAAATTTTTGCAAACTATTCACCTGACAAAGGCTAATATCCAGCATCTATAAGAAAATTAACTTAAATTTACAAGAAAAAGAACAACCTCCATTAAAAAGTGGGCATTGGGGGCCAGGTGCAGTGGCTCACACCTGTAATACCAGCACTTTGGGAGGACGAGGCAGGCAGATCACTTGAGGCCAGAAGTTCAAGACCAGCCTCACCAACATGGCAAAACCCCATCTCTACTAAAAATACAGAAATTCGCCAGACATGGTGATGCTTGCCTGTAATTCCAGCTACTCGAGACGCTGAGGCACAAGAATCGCTTGAACCCAGGAGGGAGAGGTTGCTTTTAGCTGGGATTGTGCCACTGCACTCCAGCCTGGGTGACAGAGACCAGAGACTCCATCTCACAAAAAAAAAAGAAAAAAGAAAAAAGAAAAGTGAACAGACACTGCTCGAAAGAAGACATACATGCAGCCAACAATTATATGAAAAAAAGTGCTACATCATTGATCATTACAGTAATTCAAACCAAAACCACAATGAGATACCATCTCACATCAGTTCAGAATGGCTATTATTAAAAAATCAAAAAATAACACATGCTGGGAAGGTTGTGGAGAAAAAGCCACACTTGTACACTACTTGTGGGAATGTAAATTAGTTCAACCATTGTGGAAGAGAGTGTGGTGATTCCTCAAAGACCTAGAGTCAGAAATACCATTCAATACAGCAATCCCATTACTGCATATATACCCAAAAGAACATAAATCATTCTATTACAAAGACACATCATGCATATGTTCATTGCAGCACTTTTCACAATAGAAAAGACATGGAATCAACTTCGATGCTCACCAATAATAGACTGGATAAAGAAAATGTGGTACATATATACCATGGAATACTATGCAGCCATAAAAAAGAATGAGATCATGTCCTTTGCAGGGACATGGATGGAGCTGGAGGCTGTTATCCTGAGTGAACTAATGCAGGAGCAGAAAATCAAATGCCACATGTTCTCACTCATCTCTGGGAGCTAAATGATGAGAACACATGGACACCTAGAGGGGAACAACACACACTGGGGCCTATCAGATGGTGGAGGGTGAGAGGAGGGAGAGGATCAGGAAAAATAATTAATGGGTACTAGGCTTAATACCTGGGTGATAAAAATCTATTCAACAAGCCCCCATGACACACCTTTACCTATGTAACAAACCTGCACGTGTGCCCCTGAACTTGAAATAAAAATATAGAAAAGGGAGGTTCACTTTAACATCTCATAAAACCAGTGTGAACTTTATGGCTTTCCTTCATCTTTCAACTACATCATCTGGGGAGTAAGAGAGGAATAGAAAAAGCTCACTTCTACTAATATTGTATTTGCTGAGAATTAGTCACATGGCCCAACCCAAATGCAAGTCAGGCTGGGAAATAAAAGAAAACCTATAAAATAATAAAAAATAAAAAAAAATAAAACCATAACCTAGTTATGGTTTTATTGAGCACTAAATTGATATGTGAAACAATTCCATAGAACAGGAGTGGCCAAATATTTTCTCTAAAAATCCAGACATAATAAATATTTCAGATGTTGTGGAAAATATGACCTGTGTTGCTACTACTGAACTCTGCAATTAAAGTACGAGGACAGTCATAGACCATAACTAAATGAGGGAGCAATGGGTGCAGTTTTGTTGCAGTAAAACTTCATTTTTAGAAATAGGAAGAAGGCCAGATTTGAGCCACAGGCCATAGTTTGCTGACCCTTGCCTTAGAGCATGACTTAGTATAATGCTTCCAATTTTTCATCACTGTTACTGCTATATGATACTGAAGCATAATCATTGGATTGGTTGTCTCTTCTTCGAAGCCTCATGTGCCATCCGTCCTCCCACCTCAAGTCTATATTCATACGGAAAACAGGGAAAATGTCTTACTTGTTTTATTCCTATCATGGTACTTACGTGTATGATATCTACAGTTTAGTATATGTTCAGCAAATATTTGTGGAATGAATTAATATTGCAGAAAATAGCTTGTTTATTTTCATGATTGCATAAAACATTGTGTTTTTAAAGCAGTTAGAACCATGGGTGGTCAGGATTCAGAAACATGTATTTAAGAAACATTTAGAAGTGGAGGAATCATATATATCATTTGGCTTGACCTTTATAAAATTTATGAGAAGAAATAAAGAAATGTGGTCCATTGCCTACACATAAAGTGAAACAAAAGCACAACACAATAAAACAAAGCCTAGAATGATGGGCTCCATTGGAGCCAGGGCTATAGCTCATGCCTTTCTAATTGCTGTTATAGAATGTAGTGGAAAGGACACTGAATGTGAAATTGAGATTCAGTAGTCCCAAGGACAGACATTTCATGAGAAACCAAGCCTGACATTAAACACTGATCTTTTGTACTTCAAAAGCAACTGAGTCCTCTGTGGGTGCTAATTTGAATTCTATTACTGAGTTGATGTGTCATAATAAAAAATGACTTGCACTCTCTAGCGTAACAATATTTATACCCCTCAACGTCTTTCATAAAATGTTTGGTGAAATATTGGTGAAAGAATAAATCATATTGTGATAATTTACACACCTTGTTTTTTTTTTAAATCTCTATACTGTGCAGACATTTTCCATATGATTGTCTATTTTATGTTATAGACTAAATGATATCTACTTGGAAAAAAATGATAAGCTGGAAGAGACAGCAACTTGAATATTTTGCAGGAAAATATGGAGTACAGTGGTTAACACATATTTGAGGGTAACAAAAACATTAGTAAACCAAAAGTTAATTGTACTTTGGAGAAAGTAAAGTACAATAAACTTTACCTTATTATAAAAAGTTTACATTTGATCTCTTGTAATTATTATAAGAGATGTTTAATATTTCAGTAATATAAACTAAAAAATAAAAAGAAAGTTTGAGTTGATTCCTGGGAAAAACACACACATTTGAGAGCCAAAAAACTGCAGTTTTTCTGAAGGACAATGTTAGAAGCTCTGCTAGGCAAGAAAAAAAAAAGTGAATATAATTAAAATTATGGGGAAAAAAACCCAGAAAATTGCTATAGGGAGTAATTCATTACTGACAAAGGGTATAGATTATATCTGCTATTACTCCATGATTTTAACTTTTATGTTTAAATTGACTTTTCTTGCTATTTGGGGATTAATTAAAATTCTTAAAAAAGAAAATCAAAGTTCACTACAAATACCAAGCATATTCTTAGATCCTAGAAAATGTTCCATATAACTTTAATTCTGATGATGAAATTCCTGCATCTTGTACTTGGGAACAATATCTAATGCCACCAATTCCTTGGACTATTTAAAGAATAAAAAAATGGAACTGCCTTAATTATTCTTCAATGTTATAAGGGCCCTTTTATTATTAGATTCTATATCCTCTGGGTCTGGCAAATGCCAGATGCTTAATAAATGTTAGTTGAATGAAAGGTGACTTAAAATTGCAACTTTCAAAATTGATTACCAAGAGAAATTCTGTGCACTATATTTTTACAATCTTCTGGGGAAAGCAAATGAAAAGCCTAAGCTATCACATCAACTATGCCATAATATTTTCTCATTAAATAATTTTTTATTATTGAATTCATCAAGTAATTATTTAATGTATCTCTGTAAAGCACAATTATATTTTAAGTATAAAACCCAGATAGCTTTTAACTGAAAAAAAAATTATCACTTAGATTAAATTGATGGGGAGATTGGGCTGAAGATGAACATGATCATATTAATACTGTCATCATGCTCATTTATTTTAGCCTAAACAGCGAACATCCATTGTGTCTTCTCTGGATTTTCACCGAATGAATCACAACCAAGAATATTTTGAAATCAACACATCTACAGGGTGCACAAGCTTTACTGCCAGCCCTCCTGCTAGTCCACCCACCTCTTCTGTGGGAACCACAGAAGTCAAGAATGAGGGAACTAAACATACAGGTAAAGCAGTTCACTTTATGCAGCTGTATTTTTTATTTTAAGACTGAAGTCTTTATGAGTTAGAGGAATTAGGAGGAGTCTTTGTACAAATTGCATTGTGTTTTTAGTTCACCTCCATGTGTGGCAATGTAGGACTTTAAGATTTTTGTCAATGTGGCTATAATATTCTTTTTGAATACATGGATGGCCTTTCGGTGTTAAATATTAAAGATGATGATTTAATGTGATCATAGTAGTAAAAATACCAGGGACATGGAAATGCTCTTCCACTGCCATTTACTCCTCACCACACAGTGGTATCAACTAATCAACACACAACATCATTAAGATCTGCTTTGAAGCCAGAGAACTTATATCAAGAATGTCTGGTAAGAAGGAATTGTACAGTGTGGCCTAGGCTGGCTTTCAACCTATTTAAACCACAGTGAACTTGCAGAGGAAGTGTGTTGGGGGAGAAAATGCTGGGTGTAAGGGTGAGATTAAGAAAAATAACACCACCCACTAGTAAAACATACGTTGTTCCATGCAGTCAGATTTGCAAAGCTTTCTTTATTTGGGGGACAAGGAGCTAACTCCTGGTAAGGCCAAGGGACATATTAGAACTAAGAGAAGTGGGACCCAAAGAATATCCTCCCCTGCCATATAATTTACAATAAGGGTTAAAGACAAATACAATATAGAGACAAATTTCTTAATTTTAAATGTTTTATTTGGAAATCAAGAATCACAATTGGTGGCATACTCAGAGGCTGGATGGTCTTCATTATGTCCGAGAACAGACGGTTAGAGGTTTTACAAAAAAGGGGAAATGTTTCATATTGCTCTTTGAGGAAGTTCATTGGCACTAATAATATGTTGGTGAGCTGGCAAGTTTTGATTGGTGAGTGATGACTATGGGTAAAATGATTCTCAGAGTTGCAGCAGGTTGTTTCAGTAGCTATTAGATAAAAGTGGTTTCAGGTTACAGCAGGCAGCTTCAGCAGCCAAGCTTACAGGGAATTACATTCTTGGAACAGTGTTATGTGCCCTAGATGCCTTCTCCCCTTAACCTCTCAACTGTTTCAGTTGGGTATAACAAGAATGACCCAATTCATATGATCAACTTTCATGTAAGTAAACAATTACTTTCCTTCCAAGAGACATGATTCAAAAACCCAGTAGATAGAATTAATTTGAATTTTAGAATAATGAAGTGTGGTCTGTGTGAGTATTCCATATAATCTTTGTTCACAGTGAGTGTATGAGTATATATGTATGCTCATATACCTACTTAAGTCCTTTATTCTGACTCTATGTTTAAAAGCAGTAACACAACATTCCAGAAATATAGTCAGGGAATTACTTTCCCCTAGGAATGAAGCTAAGATTTTAAAAACAATGACTAATGGTAATGAAAAGATTGATATTCTATGGAAGTTGTAATCCAGACTTTCGTGGAAGCCAGGGTGATATTCATAAGATATAAATCAAATCATGTCATTACCACGCTTAAAATGTTCCCATGTCTTCTCATCACACTTAGAATAAAATCCAACTCCTTACCATATCCAGTGATGCCTAATTTAGCCTGGTTCTTGACCAGCTCTGTAACTTGACTGAACTCATCCTGGACCATACTGGCCTTCTTTGCTGAACATTCTGGCCCTGGGGCTTTTGCACTTTGGTTCCTTCTGCCTGGAATCTCTGCCTTAAAATTTTCATGTGTCTAAGTGTCATTTAGGTTTTGGTTCAAATGCACTTCTTCATAGAGGCCTTCCCATACCACCCTCTCTCAAGTAGATATCCTCAATATGATAAGAATTATAATAATAAAAATGTGAAAATAACAATAATAATAAATACTTAAACGACACTATGTGTCAGGAACTGTTTTAGGCATTTTATGTATATCAATTCATTTAAACCTCATGACTGTCATATAAATTTGGCATTATCTGTAGATAAGCAAATATACAAAGAATGTAAATAACTAAATAACAGCCCATAATGGCAGGGCTGGAAAAAGCTCTGGTATGAACTCAAACCTGGTGCTAGAGTTCATGTTTTTAACTACTTTTCTACATCACTCTAGTCACTTCTAGCAAATCACCCCATTTTCTTTTATCCATAGCCTTATTTCCTATATAAAGTTATATTGATTACTTCTTTAGTTATTTATTATCTTCTCTCTAGAATGTAAGCTGCAATAGGTTGGTCTCTGGCCCATTGTACTCACTGAGGTCAGACTGCCAAAGTTTGATTACTAACTGTGAAACTGAGCCTCTTACCTAGCTATAAGACTTGATCTCTTTATGCTATAGTTTTCTTACTATAGAATTAGATTAACAATGAATTAATTAGATTAACTTACCCTGTAGTGTGGTGATGCATGTAAAGTGATTAACACAGTGCCTGGCACATAGTTAGTGCTCAATAAATGTTAGTAACTATTAGTGGTAGTAGCAATAAATATGATATTAACATAATCCTTTGTATTCTACATCAAGCCTAGCATTCATTTAGTGAGCATTAAAATGTATTGTCTGCTATGTACTAGATGCAGTTTTATAGGACAGGAGGGATGAGATGTGATTTGTAAAAACAAAAAAATAGTGATATGTGGACCTGGGAAGGGTTCTGGGCATATAATTATTATTCAAACAATATTTATTTGAATGACTACTTCCAGCTTTACAATCCTAAAATGGGGCAATGACAGATGCTTTGATACTTGCCTTTCAGAATGGCTTTCTTGGTTTTGTTTTAGTTAGTACGTTGTTTTGGGGATGATTGATTTTCTGAATATTTTTCAACAGGTAAAAATCTGTTTTCAACAAATTGTTCTGTCTCAGGTGGATAGAAATATTACCTTTACCCCTTTATTATTTTAATTAAAAGCAATAGAAATTTAGGCCTGATACCAAAGCCCTGGTGCCTTTTCTCCACTCTGACACTGCCCACCAGAAGCAGAGGATCAGAACAAACACATTTTGCTGCTGCCAGGAGTTCAGTGGCATCATCCGAAATGTGCGGAGAAATTGTAATCATCAGGATATTTTCAGGTTTCTGACCTTTAAACAGAACTGAAATCTAACCTTTTAACAGTTGAAATGGTTTCCAATATCATGTTACAGCGGTTTTCTAAGGTAATATATCACCTCCACATTACATAAACAATTTTAGGATAGACTGATATTTAGTAATAATGTGAAAGCACAGTTTGTTTTGCTTTACATTAAAAAGGAAAACTTGTAAGCAAGGCATTTGTCTACTCACAAAAGTAGCATTTTATTAGCTTACACATATTTAATTTGTTATACTTTAAAGACATTGCCACTGGGTATATGTTTAAAGAGAATGAGTTTAAGAGTCAGTTCCATCACTGATTTGCTAGATATTTTCCATCAAAACCTTTAACTTTTCTGATATTTAATTTGCTCCTCTGAAAGTGGAAATAGTATCTACTCTTTAGGTATTTGTAGTAATAAATGAGTTTATGTGAATACATTTTGTAAACCTTGGCAACTAATGTTATTCTCTAATATTATCACAGTTATTGCTTAATATTATTTTTGTTTTTAAATATTATTATTTGAAATCTGTAGTAGCTTTAAGATAGAGGAGCCTATTGTAAGTCTGTACAAGGTATGCCAAGGTAGCTGACCAAGCTTATGCCAAGATAGCTGACCTTTTCTTGACTTAGAAGTATAATTTAAATTTACTGATTAATCTACATTTCATTTTATAAATGATTGCATGCACAAAAAATTAATCTTGACCAAAATGCCATTTAATAGAACAAAAACTAATACATCTTCAAAAATAAATCATATGCTACAAAACACTTTTAAGTGAACCAATGAATTTATTATAATGGAGGGCCATTTAAAAAGTAGCTTGAATTGTGATTAAAGCTTCAACTTGTGAATCATCAAAAAAGGTTGTTAGAATTAAAAAGCTTTGGTGTTATACTGTCTGGGGAATGATATAAATAGGTTTACATTTAACTAGAAAGATCACTCTAGTATTAATATGTAGTAGATTTGAGATGAAATGACATTGGAGAAGGGGAGAAATAGTTTCATAGCAAAGGGAAAATGTAAATTGGTTTAAGAGATACAAGAAAAGAGTAATTAACAAGTTATGGTAATTGGATGTGCAAAGATGAGGGGAAATATTTCAAGGAGGGCTCTAAAGTTTCTAGCTTAAGCTGATGAGTGGAAGGTGGATGCTATTCCTTGAAATGTAGAATATTTGTAGGTAAGAAGAGAGGGTGAGGGATAGATTATGTAAGGCCTAATAAGCCATTTCAGGACTTTGGCTTTAACCCAGAGTGATTTTACTTAGAGCCTGTTCAGGTCTTTCAGAAGAAAAGTCACATGATCTAACTTCTATTTTATGAGGATTAATATGGCTATAATGTTCATAATGGATGGGGAGAGGGAACCAGGGTGGATACAGGAAAGCCAGTTAGAAGGCAATTGCAGCATTGCAGTAAGAGAGGGAAAGCAACTAAGATCAAAGGTGAATCAGCAGAGTTAGAGAGAAATGGAGAGATGTTGGACATATTTTTAAGGCAGATCCAATGGAATTTCATGGTGGAGTGGACATGGTATATGAGAAAATGAGAAGAATTAAGGATGACTCCAAAACTTTTCTCCTTAACAACTGTAAGAATGAATTTCCTATCATTTGACACACAAGAGGTTTTGGGAAGAGGAGGTTTGGTAAACAGCGAGAAATACCAGGAGTTAATTTTAAGTTTGAGATGCCTACTGAATATCTGAATAGATGTGTCGAGTAGGCAGCAGAAGGTCCAGTCTGCAGATATAAATGTGAACGTCGTCATTATACAGATGATATGCAGCATATGTAGAGGAAGAAGACCAATAACTGAGCTTGAGGAAGGATGGAATGAAAGGCAGCACCAGCAAGGGAGGCTGAGAAGGAGCAACCTGTGAGATAGAAGGAAATCTTTTGGTGAGTGTCTTGTTCTGAAATCAGGTGAAGGAAGTTACTAA